AAAAGCCCTATACATTTCAGTCCTTATTTTAGTTATCAGATGGGAAATTTGAAGAGGGAGAGAAAAGGAGAGAGGGGTTGCAGGGGGTGGAATAGAGGGATTGATTTCCAAAGGCCTTGGTAAATTGGTTCAATTAAAAAGATTCTTTTAGTTTGTCACTACTCAAGAGGTCACTGGGGCTTCATTGTCACTCATTATGTTGTGTTCCAAACCAGCCAGGAGTCATATTGCGAGTGAGTGATATTGAAAAGATTTGGACATAACTTCCTAGAAAATATTGGTATCCGCTCATACTGGGCAGGAAGGAGGAGGAAGAGAAGAAGGAGCACCTTCTCCTGTAAACTGACAGCTCAGTGAAGCCACCAATAGGGGACCTGGGCCTGTTGTGAGAAGGTTGTGCTGATACTCCCAATTAGGAAAAAATACACAGGGAACAGAATTACCCCTGCCACTTTACAGAAGTTGCTTATGAACAAATAACATAAGAAGAAAATACAGTTTTAAAACAAACATATGTAAAAATGACCAGATTTCTAGTAATCAGTGAACTACATATTAAAACATCAATGAAGATATCTTTTTGCACCTGTTACTTTTTTAAGGGGGAAAAAAGAGTAAAGCAACAATACAGCCAAGCGATTAAGAACAGTGTGGCATTAGACAGGATCTGAATTTGAGTTTAAGCACTACTGTTAGTTGCTGTGTGACCTTGGACATGACTTTTAAACTTTCTGAACCTTAACTTCAGGTTTCTGAAGTTTTTAAACTTTCTGAACCTCACCTGCAAAAGAGGATAACTAAATAGTTGTTACTTCAGAGATGTGGTGTGAAGATGAAGATTTTTCAGTGTGTGTGTATGTATAAAATAATAGCTACTGTGTATGGAATAATTACTGTGTGCCTGGCTCTGTGCAGTGTGCTTCAGATACGTTATCTCCTTTTGATTGAAGCTACCCTCAGGTAGGTATTACTCTCCCTGTTAAATGGAGAAAGATAGTAGAATTTAGAGAGGATACCTGACGTTAAGTTAATAGTGGAACTGGAATTTGAGTCTAAATCTGTCTGACTCCAAAGCCCATGTTAACTACTATACCATATAGCTTCACTAAATACTTCCTGAAAGAGTATTGAAGAAAAACTTCAAAACAGAAACAGGAAGAGGCTCTCCTATGGTTATGTTTAATTTGGTTCTTAAGATGGTGACATTATTAGAGACAAAATAGAAAT